CTTTGGTTTCGAGGCCGCTGTGCTCCAGTAAATCCATTCCAAGCTGCCGTCCGGCTTCTCCCTGTACCAATTGGCACGCTCTGGGCTGTCTGAGATGCTGCAGCTCAGCTCCGCCATCATCCCAGGGGACAGCCAGAGCTTTGCCGGGCTCTGCTGGATCCACGGCTCCTCCGCAGAGGTGGCTCCTGCACGGGGGGAGCAGGTCTGAGCACAGCAGGCAGTGCCACGGGGTCACCCTCACGCTTCGGGCTGTCGCCTATGGCTCCAAACCAGCGGGGTTTGGGGGGGTTTGGTGCAAAATTGGCGTGCCACAGCGAGGCAGCAGCACCCTGGGGTTTACCCCAAGCGGGTTCAGCGTAGCAGAAAGCAAGGCTGGAACATTGGTGCAGCGGGACGGGACGGGACGTACCTGTCAGGAGGAGCAGGAGAACCCCGGGCAGGCTGCACATCTCCGCCTGGGGCTGCCCACGCTCCTCGGTTGCCTCTCGGCCCGTGGCCTTCAGGCTGCAGCAAATCTCACGAGGCCGGGCCACGTACACAGGGATGCATGGAGGCACGGGTCTGCTCTGGAGAGGAGCACGACGAGCACTGGGGAGGGCGGCAAGGTGCCTCTGGGTGTCTCTCGGAGCTGGAGGAGCAAAGGCTGCTCGTGGAGGCTCGGCCTCGTTGCAGCAGCCGGAGGCTGCGTGCGGAGCTGCCGGAGCCGAGGAGCGCTGCGGTCAGCCTCGCCTTGTTGATTTTGTCACCTCTCTGCTGTTTGTTCGCACGGAACCCCTGCCCCCCCACGCCGCTGCCAGCAAACCGTTGGCTCGGAAGGTTTTTGTCGCCAAAGTTGGGCGCTGGGGTAGCAAAGAGCCACGGTTGCCGAACCACAACAGGAAAGCAGGGCAGGGCTGGGGGACCAGAGTTGCCTCTCGCCTTCGGTCCGCGGCCCTTTGAACGTCACCGGTAAGGTCACTTCGGCTGACGTGAGGATGGCTGGGGGGGGCCGCGCCTGGGGGTGCAGCCACCCCCGCCCCGAGGCAGCTCCCCAGCCTCTGCGCTGCGGTTTCCCCAAAGCAAGAGCGGCGGCACGGTGCGCTGTGGTTTGGAGTGCCCAGCGCTGGGGCTGGCTTCTTCCTTTGTCTCAAAAATTTGGGGGTGGGCACCTGAGGGCGTTGCGGGGCCTTTGAGGAGCCACCTGCAGCCCTGAGCATTGCAGAAAAGGTTAAAAGCCAAATTTTCCTGCCGGATGTGGGTCCGTGCAGCAAGCTGACACGAGCTCTGCACCCGGCGATGCACCCCACAGCTGCCGGCAGCGGCGCGTGGGGAGGACGCATTCCCTGTGGGGACATCGTGTCCTCCGTGGGGACACTGTGTCCTCACGGCTGGGGGAGATCAATGCTGGGGTCCCACACTTCGTGCATCCACAGGACCCGGTGCACTCGGCCCCTCTGCAGAAGGACTGGGACGAGCATGCCGATGGCACCCCTGGGTTTCTCCTGCACGAAGGCGCTGCTGGCCACGGGGCTGCTGCTGCTGTGGCTGGGTGAGCATCGGGGCAGGCGCAGGGGAGAGGGGCACCTCTCGCTTTCTGAGTGCCCCCGGGATTTGGGAGCACAGGCTGGGCTTGGGGAGCAGGCATTGAATGAGCCCCCGGTCGGTCCCTGCAGCACCGGCAACGTTGCTGGCAGTGCAGCAGCCCCAGCCCTTCCTCTTCGTGGAGCCCAGCACTCCGGTGGACATCAGCTGCATTCTGGACGAGACGCAAGATGGCAGAGGCAACGTGTTCTGGTACCGGCGTGTCCGTGGGGAGAGGCCCCGGCTGATCCTCAGCTGCTTGCAAGTTCAGGGGGAATTTTCCTGCAAGTACACGAAGGGACGCGCCGTGCTGCACATCGCTGCTGCAGGCAGCAACCACACTGGCCTCTACCTCTGCGCCTACTACATCAACTCCAAGCTGCTCTTTGGCAACGGCACCGCGCTGATCGTGGGAGGTAGGGGTGCTGTTGGGCTGGGGCTGGTGGGGGGACCCCAACATCTACCCCTGAGCCCTCCCTTGTTAGATGGAAAACCCCCCAAGTCTCCCCATTGCACAGCCCCCACCCATGTCCCTACAGCGGATGGGACCCCCGTTTCTCCCCATTGCATGGACACCCCCCAATGCCCGTTGTGTCACTAGGAGGAGACCCCAGGGGCACGCGGGGTCCCTGCCCACATCGCAGCCCACCGAGCCCCTGCTCTCGTCTGTGCAGACAGCTGGAGGGCCCAGAGCTGGGTGCGGGTGCTGGCGCCCCACGGCTCCCCTTCAGACCCCCCCGGCCTGGTCTGTGCCGTGGGCAACGCCAGCGGCCCCGTCCTCGTCTCCTGGCCGGGGGGGCCCAGACCCCAGCAGGTGCTGGGGCTGGGGGGCAGCACAGAGCTGCTCATCAGCCCCGCGGGCATCGCCGGGGGCACCGGGGGGCTCTGCGAGGTGCGCTTCAATGCCTCCGGTCCCCCCGTCCGCAGGAGCGTGGAGCTGCACGGGGCCAAGGGTGAGCACAAGCCTGGGCACCGGGGTGACCAGGGGACAGGGCACATGGGGTCACCCCCCCTTCCCGGGGATTCCTCAGAGCTGGGGCACGTGTGGGGAAAGTGAGGCAGTGGGGATGGTGCAGCCCCGGGGATCAGTGGAGGGGATGGGGGCACGTTGGGGGTGATGGTGGAATACTGGGGGGCAATGGGAGAACGTTGGGGGTTATGGGGGGGAAGCTGGGAGGCAATGGGGGGAAGCTGGGTGGTGATGGGGGCATGATGGGGGGTTATGAGGGGATGTTGGGGGTGATGGGAGGAAGCTGGGAGTGATGGGGTCATGTTGGGGGGCGATGGGGAAATAATATGTGGTAATGGGGGGATGTTGGGGTATGGGAGTGATCAAGGGGGGCACATGGGTGTCAGCAGATGGCTGGGACAAGCCGCCCCCCCCAAGTGCCTGCACGACACCAAGTGCCGTAGCCAGGGCACTGCTGCTGCTCGGCCTCATCCTCGGCATCTGCTGCCTCTTTCATGCATGGAGGGGTAAGGAGCTGAGCAGGGGCTGGGGGTGATGGACACCCCTGCCCCCTGACATCCCCTGCTGCCCTGCACCCCGCTCCCCCATCCCATCCCTAATTCCCCTCCGTCCCCATGCTGGGGACACGTCTCTGTCCCCGCCAGGACTCCGGCCCAGAGCTCCAGACCCTCCTGCAAGCCCAGCACCAGCAGGTGAGGCCCTGCAGCCCCCCCGGGGTCCCCATACGGGATGGTGGCCATAGCAGGAGCACTGCCCACACGGCTTCGCATGGCCATCGGGCACCAGTGGACGGCCCAGGAGAGCCCCACTGGGCTTGGGGCCAGGGTTGGGGCCGCTCTGATGGCGTTGGTGCCCGCAGGGAGAGCTGACGTACGCCCAGCTCCGCTTCGCCACCCCAGCGAGGGCAGCGCCGTGACCCACGGGGCTGGGCCCCAAGGCCTCGGTGGCGGCGCCGTGCAGCCCTGGGAGGCTGCGGCTGCCCCGGCCGCCGGGACAGCGGGGAGGAAGGAACGGGACCGAACCTCCAAGGAGGGGGCTCGAAGGAGCAGTGAATGACGGGAGAGGACCTCAAATGTGGCGTTAATAAAGAGATTGAAACTAAAATGAGGAGTAAATCGTGGGGTTGAACCTCAAACATGGAGATAATAAAGAGATTGAAGCTGAAATGAGGTGTAAATAATGGGGCTGAACCTCAAACATGGAGATAATAAAGAGATTGAAGCTCAAATGAGGAGTAAATCATGGGGTTGAACCTCAAATGGGGAGGAAACTGAGACTAAACTCAACACTCAACGCCCCCTGCAAGAAAAGCCGCTACTGCTGCCTGGGGCTGGGGGGGAAGCCCCAGGCCTGCTCCCCACGGCACCCACGGGTGCTGGCACTGGGCATTTAGGAGAACAGGGCGGCGCCTGCCCCTCCACTCCCCTCGCCAGCAAGCTGTAGGCCGCCATGAGGTCCCCCCTCAGCTTCCTCTTCTCCAGCCTGAACAGGCCCAGTGCCCTCAGCCGCTCCCCACACGCCTTCCCCTCTAGGCCCTTCCCCATCTTGGTCGCCCTCCTCTGGACACTCTCCAACACTTTCATGGCCTTCGTGTGCTCTGGGGCCCAGAGCTGCACACAGCGCTGAGAATCCTGCAGCCACAGAATCACAGAATCACAGAATTTCTAGGTTGGAAGAGACCTCAAGGTCATCGAGTCCAACCTCTGACCTAACACTAACAGTCCCCACTAAACCATATCCCTAAGCTCTACATATAAATGGCTATCAAAGACCTCCAGGGATGGTGACTCCACCACGTCCCTGGGCAGGCCATGCTGGTGCCTGACCACTCTTTGAGACCAGAAGTTTCTCCTGATATCTAATCTCAAGGTGAGCCCGCAGTCCTGCCATGATGTCTGCCAGCTCTCTGAGCACCCTGGGATGAACCCATCCGGACCCATGGACGCGTACGGATCCAGGTGGAGCAGCAAATCCCGCACACGTTCAGGGTCGGTTGGGACTTTATCATTCCCACCGTCATGGTCCTTCAAGCCCATCATCAGCATTGCAGACTGAAGCAAAGAAGGCATTAAACGTTGCAGGGCACCACAAGTTTTGGCCCTGTCTCTCGGTGGTTTCCTTTTGGGGCTTCGTGTCCCAGCCACAGGAGCAGCAGCACGCGTGTGGAGGGGAAGGGGAGGTTGTGGCAAACCCTAAAGCCAGGGGAGCCGGGATGGATGCCCCAGCATGGGGTTATGCACACAGCAACAGACAGGGAAAGTGCTGAGAGCACGGGGAGCATCCTCGGAGCCGGCACACGTTGTGGGGTGGCCGTTCAGGAAGCAAAATGCAGAGAGGAGGGGCTGAAACAGGGCTGTGCTTAAGGCTCGAGGTGTAAAGGGACTTTTTTTTTGCCCTGTTTAACAGTAGCTCCCCGTGGCTGTCACACGGGGTAGCACAGGGAGCAATCCCAATGAAGCCGAGACATCCGTTGCTTACGAAGAAATCATGATTTTATTATCTGCATGCAATTCCTCGTGGCTATCGAGCTTCCCGCAGCGCTCTCAGCGTTCCTCCTCCCCCTCTGCCATGCAGCCCAGCAGGGAAATGCAGCAGAGCGCAGGATCCCCCCACTTTCCCTTTCCTCTCTTGTTTTCGCTGCTCGCAGACCGCAGGCGTGAGCGGCTTCTGGCAGGGCGGGCGCGGGGAAAGGGCTTCTCAGTGCCCCAGCGCCGCGTACTCGCACTCGGGCTGCAAGAGAGAGCGAGAAGCCGCGCGCTTGGGGCTGCGCCTGCAGCTGCAGGGGATGCTTTGCCCGCGCCAAAGCCCCCGGCCGGGCTGCTTGGGAGCTCCTTCCTCCTGCCGTGCCCACAGCCTCGTGCCGGGGGCTGGGGAAGCAGCTCACCTCCGGGCCCCGTCTCAGCACCGCGCGGGCCGGCCTTCGGCGCAGCCGGGCTGCCCACCACATCAAGGCGAGGACGGCGGCGCCGGGCGGCACGAAGGCCAGCAGCCACAGGAAGCATCCTGCTGCAGGGAGGGAGGGGAGGACAAGGAGACGTTGCCGACGGGGCACGGAGCTGGCGCCGGGGGCGGCCGGGGAAAGGGAGCAGGGGGGGGAGATGGGGCCAGGGCAGCGTTTGCAGCCTTTCAGCCCAGGGAGATGAGAAAAGGGGATTTAAGGCTGGAAGAAGCGGGCTTGGAGTCCCTGCAAGCACAGACCAAGCACAGAGCAAAGCCCGCGGTGCCCAGGGGGAGGCTGCTCGAGCTCACCCGTGCCGATGGTCTCGCTGACGATCCTGCCCGTGCCGCGCTCCGTGGCCGTGCAATTCATGGCCCCGTCCCAGCGCTCAGCCGAGACCCAGGTAAGGTTCCAGGCGCCGGGGAGGTGGCACTGCAGGGAGACAAAGTCCGAGGGCTCCTCTGCATCCACGAGCACCAGGATGGAGAGCTTGGGCTCGGAGGCATCTGAAAGTGAGAGGGAAAACCCAGTGTCCCCAGGGATGTCCCCAGGGATGTCCCCAGCACCGCCACACGCTGCCGCGCTCACCTGTGACGAGGAGCCTGGTCCCGTTCCCAAACTGGGAGTGCAACACAGAGGAGGTGCAGTAATAATACCCAGAGTCCTCACGCTGCACATCGCTGATATTCAAGGAGAAAAAAAACAGTTCTTTCACCGTCCCTGAGTATCTCCCCTTTGGTTTCGAGGCCGCTGCGCTCCAGTAAATCCTTTCCAAGCTGCCGTCAGGCTTCTCCCTGTACCAGTTGGCCTGCTCTGGGCTGCCCGAGATGTTGCAGCTCAGCTCCGCCGTCGCCCCAGGGGACAGCCAGAGCTCTGCCGGGCTTTGCTGGATCTGCAGCTCCTCTACAGAGGCGGCTCCTGCACGGGGGGAGCGGGTCTGAGCGCAGCAGGCAGTGCCACGGGGTCACCCTCGCACTTTGGGTTGTTGCCTTCTGGCTCCAAACCAGCAGGGTTTGGGGGGTTCATGCAAAATTGGCGTTGCACAGCGAGGCAGCAGCACCCCGGGGTTTACCCCAAGCGGGTTCAGCGTAGCAGAAAGCAAGGCTGGAGCATTGGTGCAGCGGGATGGGACGGGACGTACCTGTCAGGAGGAGCAGGAGAACCCCGGGCAGGCTGCACATCTCCGCCTGGGGCTGCCCACACTCCTCGGTCGCCTCTTGGCTCCTGCAAAAGGCTTCGACACGGCACAAGGGAGCCTGGCTGTCGTCTGGGGTCGCGGAGGCACAGAGGGAAGGGGAGGCGATGCCTGGCGAGGGGACGGAGCTCGATGGGCTCCTGCTCGCGGACTGCAATTTAATTGCAGCTCCTAATTGCAGCGGGGGGGTCCTGCTGCGCTTTGCCTGCCTGCGCCTCGCCCCAAGGAGCCCCGGACATCGTCCCCTTCTTCTTCCTTTCTCGCAGCTCGGCACCGCGGCTACTTGTGGCCTTCAGGCTGCAGCAAATCTCGCGGGGATGCGTGGAGACACAGGTCTGCTCTGGAGAGGAGCACGACGAGTACTGGGGAGGGCGGCGAGGTGCCTCTGGTGTCTCTCGGAGCTGGAGGAGCAAAGGCTTCTCGTGGAGGCTCGGCCTCGTTGCAGCAGCCGGAGGCTGCGTGCGGAGCTGCCGGAGCCGAGGAGCGCTGCGGTCAGCCTCGCCTTGTTGATTTTGTCACCTCTCTGCTGTTTGTTCGCACGGAACCCCTGCCCCCCCACACCGCTGCCAGCAAACCATTGGCTCTGAAGGGTTTTGTCGCCAAAGTTGGGCACTGGGGTAGCAAAGAGCCACGGTTGCCGAACCACAACAGGAAAGCAGGGCAGGGCTGGGGGACCAGAGTTGCCTCTCGCCTTCGGTCCGCGGCCCTTTGAACGTCACCGGTAAGGTCACTTCAGCTGACGTGAGGATCGCTGGGGGGGCCGCGGCTGGGGGTGCAGCCACCCCCGCCCCGACGCAGCTCCCCAGCCTCTGCGCTGCGGTTTCCCCAAAGCAAGAGCAGCGGCACGGTGCGCTGTGGTTTGGAGTGCCCAGCGCTGGGGCTGGCTTCTTCCTTTGTCTCAAAAATTTGGGGGTGGGCACCTGAGGGCGTTGCGGGGCCTTTGAGGAGCCACCTGCAGCCCTGAGCATTGCAGAAAAGGTTAAAAGCCAAATTTTCCTGCCGGATGTGGGTCCGTGCAGCAAGCTGACAAGAGCTCTGCACCCGGCGATGCACCCCACAGCTGCCGGCAGCGGCGAGTGGGGAGGACGCATTCCCTGTGGGGACACCGTGTCCTCCGTGGGGACACTGTGTCCTCACGGCTGGGGGAGATCAATGCTGGAGCCCCACACTTCGTGCATCCACAGGTCCCAGCGCACTCGGCCCCTCTGCAGAAGACTGGGACGAGCACGCCGATGGCACCCCTGGGTTTCTCCTGCACGAAGGCGCTGCTGGCCACGGGGCTGCTGCTGCTGTGGCTGGGTGAGCATCGGGGCAGGCGCAGGGGAGAGGGGCACCTCTCGCTTTCTGAGTGCCCCCGGGATTTGGGAGCACAGGCTGGGCTTGGGGAGCAGGCATTGAATGAGCCCCCGGTCGGTCCCTGCAGCACCGGCAACGTTGCTGGCAGTGCAGCAGCCCCAGCCCTTCCTCTTTGTGGAGCCCAGCACTCCGGTGGACATCAGCTGCATTCTGGACGAGACGCAAGATGGCAGAGGCAACGTGTTCTGGTACCGGCGTGTCCGTGGGGAGAGGCCCCAGCTGATCCTCAGCTGCTTGCAAGTTCAGGGGGAATTTTCCTGCAAGTACACGAAGGGACGCGCCGTGCTGCACATCGCTGCTGCAGGCAGCAACCACACCGGCCTCTACCTCTGCGCCTACTACATCAACTCCAGGCTGAAGTTTGGCAATGGCACCGCGCTGATTGTGGGAGGTAGGGGGGCTGCTGGGCTAAGGGTGGCGGGTGGGGGGACCCCAACATCTACCCCTGAGCCCTCTCTTGTTAGATGGGGAACCCCCCAAGTCTCCCCATTGCACAGTCCACACCCATTTACCTACAGCGGATGGGACCCCCATTGCATGGACACCCCCCATGCCCCTCGTGTCACTAGGAGGGGTCCCCAGGGGCACGCGGGGTCCCTGCCCACATCGCAGCCCACCGAGCCCCTGCTCTCGTCTGTGCAGACAGCTGGAGGGCCCAGAGCTGGGTGCGGGTGCTGGCGCCCCACGGCTCCCCTTCAGACCCCCCCGGCCTGGTCTGTGCCGTGGGCAACGCCAGCGGCCCCGTCCTCGTCTCCTGGCCGGGGGGGCCCAGACCCCAGCAGGTGCTGGGGCTGGGGGGCAGCACAGAGCCGCTCATCAGCCCCGCGGGCATCGCCGGGGGCACCGGGGGGCTCTGCGAGGTGCGCTTCAATGCCTCCGGTCCCCCCGTCCGCAGGAGCGTGGAGCTGCACGGGGCCAAGGGTGAGCACGAGCCTGGGCACCGGGGTGACCAGGGGATAGGGCACATGGGGTCACCCCCCCTTCCTGGGGGTTCCTTGGAGCTGGGGCATGTGTGGGGAAAGTGAGGCAATGTTGGGGGTAATGGGGGATGTTGGGGGAGATGGTGGGATAATGGGGGACAACGGGGGGATGTTGGGAGTGATGGGGGGATGCTGGGTGGTGATGGGGGCATGTTGGGGGCGATAGTGGGATAATGGGGTGATAGGGGGATGTTGGGGGTGATGGGGGGAAGCTGAGGGTTGATGGGGGGAAGCTGGGTGGCGATGGGGGAATAATGGGGGGCAATGGGAGGATGTAGGGATATGGGAGAGATCAAGGGGGGGACATGGGTGTCAGCAGATGGCTGGGACAAGCCGGCCCCCCCAGGTGCCTGCACGACACCAATTGTCGTGGCCATGGCCGCAGCCGGGGCGCTGCTGCTGCTCGGCCTCAGCCTCGGCGTCCGCTGCCTCCTCCGCGCACGGACGGGTAAGGAGCCGAGCAGGGGCTGGGGGTGATGGACCCCCCTGTATCCCCCTTCTTCCCCTGCTGCCCTGCACCCCGCTCCCCCATCCCATCCCATCCCCAATTCCCCTCTGTCCCCATGCTGGGGACACGTCTCTGTCCCCGCCAGGACTCCGGCCCAGAGCCCCGAACCCTCCTGCACCCCAGCAGCAGCAGGTGAGGCCCTGCGGCCACCGGGAGTCCCCACACGGGGCGGTGGCAATAACGGGGACAGGCCCAGCCCCACTGGGGTTGGGGGCTGGTCTTGGGGCCGCTCTGATGGCGTTGGTGCCCGCAGGGAGAGCTGACGTACGCCCAGCTCCGCTTCGCCACCCCAGCGAGGGCAGCGCCGTGACCCACGGGGCTGGGCCCCAAGGCCTCGGTGGCGGCGCCGTGCAGCCCCGGGAGGCTGCGGCTGCCCCGGCCGCCGGGACAGCGGGGACTGAAACTACAACGAGGGGGCTCGAAGGAGGAGTGAATGACGGGCTTGGACCTCAAATGTGGCGTTAATAAAGAGATTGAAACAAAAACATTGGATAAAGCATTGTATTGAAACTGAATTGAGAAGTAAATATAGAGAGTGAACCTCAAATGAGGGTGAATAATGGGAGTGGACCTCAAATGTGGCGTTAATAAAGAGATTGAAACTAAAATGAGGAGTAAATTGTTGGGTTGAACCACAAACATGGAGATAATAAAGAGATAGAAGCTCAAATGAGGAGTAAATCATGGGGCTGAACCTCAAATGGGGAGGAAATGGAGACGAAACTCAACACTCAACGCCCCCTGCAAGAAAAGCCGCTACTGCTGCCTGGGGCTGGGGGGGAAGCCCCAGGCCTGCTCCCCACGGCACCCACGGGTGCTGGCACTGGGCATTTAGGAGAACAGGGCGGCGCCTGCCCCTCCACTCCCCTCGCCAGCAAGCTGTAGGCCGCCATGAGGTCCCCCCTCAGCTTCCTCTTCTCCAGCCTGAACAGGCCCAGTGCCCTCAGCCGCTCCCCACACGCCTTCCCCTCTAGGCCCTTCCCCATCTTGGTCGCCCTCCTCTGGACACTCTCCAACACTTTCATGGCCTTCGTGTACTGAGGGGCCCAGAGCTGCACACAGCGCTGAGAATCCTGCAGCCACAGAATCACAGAATCACAGAATTTCTAGGTTGAAGGGGCCTCAAAATCATCGAGTCCAACCTCTGACCTAACGCTAACAGTCCCCACTAAACCATATCCCTGAGCTCTACATCTAAACGGCTTTCAAAGCCCTCCAGGGATGGTGACTCCACCACCTCCATGGCCAGGCCATGCTGGTGCCTGACCACTCTTTGAGACCAGAAGTTTCTCCTGATATCTAATCTCAAGGTGAGCCCGCAGTCCTGCCATGATGTCTGCCAGCTCTCTGAGCACCCTGGGATGAACCCATCCGGACCCATGGACGCGTACGGATCCAGGTGGAGCAGCAAATCCCACACACGTTCAGGGTCGGTTGGGATCTGATCATTCCCACTGTCATGGTCCTCCAGCTCAGGGCACCCTGGGTCCCGAAGCCCATCATCAGTGTTTGAAGATGGAGGCAAAGAAGGCATTAAACGTTGCAGGGCACCACACGTTTTAGCCCCATCACTCGGTGGTTTCCCTTTGGGGTTCGTGTCCCAGCCACAGGAGCAGCAGCACGCGTGTGGAGGGGAAGGGGAGGTTGTGGTAAACCCTAAAGCCAGGGGAGCCGGGATGGATGCCCCAGCACGGGGTCGTGTGCGTGGCCACAGACAGGGAAGGTGCTGAGAGCACGGGGAGCATCCTCGGAGCCGGCACACGGTGCAAGGTCGCCCTTCAGGAAGCAAAATGCAGAGAGGAGGGGCTAAAACAGGGCTGTGCTTAAGGCTCGAAGTGTAAAGGGACTTTTTTTTTTGCCCTGTTTAACAGCAGCTCCCCGTGGCTGCCACACGGGGTAGCACAGGGAGCAATCCCAATGAAGCCGAGACCCCGGTTGCATATCATGAATTTTATTATGTGCATGGGATTCCTCATGGCCATCGAGCTTCCCGCAGCGCTCTCAGCGTTCCTCCTCCCCCTCTGCCATGCAGCCCAGCAGGGAAATGCAGCAGAGCGCAGGATCCCCCCACTTTCCCTTTCCTCTCTTGTTTTCGCTGCTCGCAGACCGCAGGCGTGAGCGGCTTCTGGCAGGGCGGGCGCGGGGAAAGGGCTTCTCAGTGCCCCAGCGCCGCGTACTCGCACTCGGGCTGCAAGAGAGAGCGAGAAGCCGCGCGCTTGGGGCTGCGCCTGCAGCTGCAGGGGATGCTTTGCCCGCGCCAAAGCCCCCGGCCGGGCTGCTTGGGAGCTCCTTCCTCCTGCCGTGCCCACAGCCTCGTGCCGGGGGCTGGGGAAGCAGCTCACCTCCGGGCCCCGTCTCAGCACCGCGCGGGCCGGCCTTCGGCGCAGCCGGGCTGCCCACCACATCAAGGCGAGGACGGCGGCGCCGGGCGGCACGAAGGCCAGCAGCCACAGGAAGCATCCTGCTGCAGGGAGGGAGGGGAGGACAAGGAGACGTTGCCGACGGGGCACGGAGCTGGCGCCGGGGGCGGCCGGGGAAAGGGAGCGGTGCAGGGAGATGGGGCCAGGGCAGCGTTTGCAGCGTTTCAGCCCAGGGAGTCGGGGAAAAAGGGATTTAAGGCTGCAAGAAGCGGGCTTGGAGTCCCCGCAAGCACACACCAAGAACAGAGCAAAGCCCGCGGTGCCCAGGGGGAGGCTGCTCGAGCTCACCCGTGCCGATGGTCTCGCTGACGATCCTGCCCGTGCCGCGCTCCGTGGCCGTGCAATTCATGGCACCGTTCCAGTGCTCGGCAGAGACCCAGGTGAGGTTCCAGGAGCCAGGGAGGTGGCACAGCAGGGGGACAAAGTCCGAGGGCTCCTCTGCATCCACGGGCACCAGGATGGAGAGCTTGGGCTCGGAGGCATCTGAAAGTGAGTGGGAAAACCCAGTGCCCCAGGGATGTCCCCAGGGATGTCCCAAGGGATGTCCCCAGCACCGCCACACGCTGCCACGCTCACCTGTGACGAGGAGCCTGGTCCCCTTCCCAAACTGGGAGTGCGACACAGAGGAGGTGCAGTAATAATACCCAGAGTCCTCACGCTGCACATCGCTGATATTCAAGGGGAAAATGCCCCTTGCTCTCATCATCCCTGAGTATTTCCCGTTTGGTTTCGAGGCCGCCGTGCTCTCGTAAATCCATTCCAAGCTGCCGTCCGGCTTCTCCCTGTACCAATTGGCATGCCATGGGCTGCCTGAGATGCTGCAGCTCAGCTTGGCTGTCTCCCCAGGGGACACCCAGAGCTGTGCCGGGCTCTCCTGGATCCACGGCTCCTTCGCAGAGGCGGCTCCTGCACAGGGGAAGCGGGTCTGAGCGCAGCAGGCAGTGCCATGGGTCACCCTCATGCTTCAGGCTGTTGGCTTCTTGCTCCAAACCGGTGTGGTTTAGGGCAGTTTGGTGCAAAATTGGCATTCCACAGCGAGGCAGCAGCACCCTGGGGTTTACCCCAAGCGGGTTTAGCGTAGCAGAAAGCAAGGCTGGAGCATTGGTGCAGCGGGACGGGACGGGACGTACCTGTCAGGAGGAGCAGGAGAACCCCGGGCAGGCTGCACATCTCCGCCTGGGGCTGCCCACGCTCCTCGGTCGCCTCTCGGCTCCTGCAAAAGGCTTCGACACGGCACAAGGCGAGGGGACGGAGCTTGATGGGCTCCTGTTTGCGGACTGCAATTTAATTGCAGTTCCTCATTGCAGCGGGGGGGTCCTGCCGTGCTTTGCCTGCCTGCGCCTCACCCCGAGGAGCCCCGGGCATCATCCCCTGCAGCAAATCTCACGAGGCCGTGCCACGTGCACGGGTCTGCTCTGGAGAGGAGCACGACGAGCACCGGGGAGGGCGGCGAGGTGCCTCTGGGTGTCTCTCGGAGCTGGAGGAGCAAAGGCTGCTCGTGGAGGCTCGGCCTCGTTGCAGCAGCTGCAGGCTGCGTGCGGAGCTGCCGGAGCCGAGGAGCGCTGCGGTCAGCCTCGCCTTGTTGATTTTGTCACCTCTCTGCTGTTTGTTCGCACGGAACCCCTGCCCCCCCACGCCGCTGCCAGCAAACCGTTGGCTCGGAAGGTTTTTGTCGCCAAAGTTGGGCGCTGGGGTAGCAAAGAGCCACGGTTGCCGAACCACAACAGGAAAGCAGGGCAGGGCTGGGGGACCAGAGTTGCCTCTCGCCTTCGGTCCGCGGCCCTTTGAACGTCACCGGTAAGGTCACTTCGTCTGACGTGAGGATGGCTGGGGGGGCCGCGCCTGGGGGTGCAGCCACCCCCGCCCCGAGGCAGCTCCCCAGCCTCTGCGCTGCGGTTTCCCCAAAGCAAGAGCGGCGGCACGGTGCGCTGTGGTTTGGAGTGCCCAGCGCTGGGGCTGGCTTCTTCTTTCATGTCGAGAATTTGGGGGTGGGCACCCGAGGGCGTCGCGGGGCCTTTGAGGAGCCACCTGCAGCCCTGAGCATTGCAGAAATGGTTAAAAGCCAAATTTTCCTGCCGGATGTGGGTCCGTGCAGCAAGCTGACACGAGCTCTGCACCCGTCGATGCACCCCACAGCTGCCGGCAGCGGCGCGTGGGGAGGACGCATTCCCTGTGGGGACACCGCGTCCTCCGTGGGGACACCGTGTCCTCACGGCAGGGGGACATCGCTGCCAGGACCCCAAACTTTGGGTAGCTGCAAGTCCCGGTGCACTCGGCCACTCTGCAGAAGGACTGGGACGAGCACGCCGATGGCACCCCTGGGTTTCTCCTGCACGAAGGCGCTGCTGGCCACGGGGCTGCTGCTGCTGTGGCTGGGTGAGCATCGGGGCAGGCGCTGGGGAGAGGGGCTCCTCTCGCTTTCTGAGCGATCTCTGGGCGTTTGGAGCACAGGCTGGGCTTGGAGAGCCGGCATTGAATGAGCCCCCGGTCAGTCCCTACAGCACCGGCAACGTTGCTGGATCTACACCAGCCCCAGCCCTTCCTCTTCGTGGAGCCCAGCACTCCGGTGGACATCAGCTGCATTCTGGGCGAGGGGCTCGATGGCAAAGGCAACGTGTTCTGGTACCGGCGTGTCCGTGGGGAGCGGCCCCAGCTGATCCTCAACTGCAGCCAGGAGGCTCAGGAGGGATTTTCCTGCGAGTACTCAAAGGGACGCGCCGTGCTGCACATCGCTGTTGCACACATCAGCCACACCGGCCTCTACCTCTGCGCCTACTACATCAACTCCAGGCTGAAGTTTCGCAACGGCACCGCGCTGATCGTGGGAGGTAGGGGGGCTGCTGGGCTAAGGGTGGCGGGTGGGGGGACCCCAACATCTACCCCTGAGCCCTCTCTTGTTAGATGGGAAACCCCCCAAGTCTCCCCATTGCACAGCCCCCACCCATGTCCCTACAGCGGATGGGACCCCCGTTTCTCCCCATTGCACGGAGCCCCCCCCCCATGCCCCTCGTGTCACTAGGAGGGGTCCCCAGGGGGACACGGGGTCCCTGCCCACATCGCAGCCCACTGAGCCCCTGCTCTCGTCTGTGCAGACAGCTGGAGGGCCCAGAGCTGGGTGCGGGTGCTGGCGCCCCAGGACTCCCCTTCAGACCCCCCCGGCCTGGTCTGTGCCGTGGGCAACGCCAGCGGCCCCGTCCTCGTCTCCTGGCCGGGGGGGCCCCGACCCCAGCAGGTGCTGGGGCTGGGGGGCAGCACAGAGCTGCTCATCAGCCCCGCGGGCATCGCCGGGGGCACCGGGGGGCTCTGCGAGGTGCGCTTCAATGCCTCCGGTCCCCCCGTCCGCAGGAGCGTGGAGCTGCACGGGGCCAAGGGTGAGCACGAGCCTGGGCACCGGGGTGACCAGGGGACAGGGCACATGGGGTCACCCCCCCTTCCTGGGGGTTCCTTGGAGCTGGGGCATGTGTGGGGAAAGTGAGGCAATGTTGGGGGTAATGGGGGATGTTGGGGGGAGATGGTGGGATAATGGGGGACAACGGGGGGATGTTGGGAGTGATGGGGGGATGCTGGATGGTGATGGGGGCATGTTGGGGGTGATGGGGGGATAAAGGGGGGATATGGGGATGTTGGGGGTGATGGGGGAAGCTGGGTGGCGATGGGGGAATAAAGGGGGGAAATGGGAGGATGTTGGGGTATGGGAGAGATCAAGGGGGGGACATGGGTGTCAGCAGATGGCTGGGACAAGTGGCCCCCCCCAGGTGCCTGCACGACACCAAGTGTCGTGGCCATGGCCGCAGCCGGGGCGCTGCTGCTGCTCGGCCTCAGCCTCGGCGTCCGCTGCCTCCTCCGCGCACGGACGGGTAAGGAGCCGAGCAGGGGCTGGGGGTGATGGACCCCCCTGCCTCCTGGCAGCCCCTGCTGCCTTACAGCCCGCTCCCCCATCCCATCCCCAATTCCCCTCCGCCCCCATGCTGGGGACACGTCTCTGTCCCCGCCAGGACTCCGGCCCAGAGCCCCGAACCCTCAAGCACCCCAGCACCAGCAGGTGAGGCACTGCAGCCCCCAGGGGTCCCCACACGGGGCAGTGGCAATAATGGGGACAGGCAAAGCCCCACTGGGGTTGGGGGCTGGTCTTGGGGCCGCTCTGATGGCGTTGGTGCCCGCAGGGAGAGCTGACGTACGCCCAGCTCCGCTTCGCCACCCCAGCGAGGGCAGCGCCGTGACCCACGGGGCTGGGCCCCAAGGCCTCGGTGGCGGCGCCGTGCAGCCCCGGGAGGCTGCGGCTGCCCCGGCCGCCGGGACTGCGGGGAGGAAGGAACGGGACCGAACCTCCAAGGGACCGAACCTCCAAGGGACCGAACCTCCGAGGAGGGGACTCGAAGGAGGAGTGAATGACGGGATTGGATGTAAAATGTGGCGTTAATAAAGAGATTGAAACTAAAATGGTGGATAAAGCATTGTATTGAAACTGAATTGAGGAGTAAATAGAGAGAGTGAACCTCAAATGAGAAGTAAATCATGGGGTTGAATCTGAAACGAGGAGTAAATATAGAGATTGAAGCTCAAACAAGGAGGGAATGAGGGGATTGAACCTCAAACGAGGAGTAAATAACGGGATTGGACCTCAGACATGGATCTAATAATGAGATTGAAGCTAAAATGAGGAGTAAACAATGGGATTGAACCTCAGATGAGGAATAAATAATGGGATTGATGCTCAAACGAGGAGTAAATATAGAGATTGAAGCTCAAACGAGGAGGGAATAAAGAGCCTGAACCTCAAATGAGGAAGAAATCGAGATCAAACCCAAAAACCAACGCAGCCCCCCCCAAGGGGGCGCCACAACTCTCCCCGAACTACAACTCCCATCATGCCTCACGGCGGTGCCTCACCTCCCTCCCCGCTCCCCACCGCCTACATCTCCCATGGTGCCCCGCGGCCCGGGCCGCGCCCTGCCATTACCCTCGCCCCGTTCGCAGGACTACAACTCCCGGCGTGCCCCGCGGCGCCCCGCCCGCCGCCCGCCGACCATGGGGGCCGCCGTCTTCTTCGGGTGCGCGGGCATCGCCTTCGGGCCCGCGCTCGCCCTCGTCCTGCTTACGGTGGCGGCCGAGCCCCTGCGGGTCATCATCCTGGTGGCGGGGTGAGGGGGCCGGGGGGGCTCGGGGGGGGGCCCGGGAGGTCGCCCCGGGGGGGGCCGCCCCGGTATATGGGGCCCCAATGGAGGCCGGCCCTATATAGGGGGCCCTATGGAGGCCGGCCCTATATGGGGGGGCCCCAGTGGAGGCCGGCCCTATATAGGGGGGCCCCAATGGAGGCCGGCCCTATATAGGGGGGCTCCTCCTGAGGCCGGCCCTATATGGGGGGGCTCCTCTGGAGGCCAGCCCTATATAGGGGGGCCCCAATGGAGGCCGGCCCTATATGGGGGGGCTCCTTCGGAGGCCGGCCCTATATAGGGGGGCTCCTCCGGAGGCTGGCCCTATGGAGGCCGCGCTTTGGGGGGGGTGTTTGGGGGAGCCCCATGTTATGAGGCAGCTTCTGGGGGTTGGGGGGGGCTCTGGGGGGGCTGAGCCTCACCCCAAATCCCTCCTGGCAGCCTCCCCATTTGTTCTTCTGTTTCTCCAGCGTCTCGGAGCCGCTCCCCACAGCCCCCAACCCCCCCCAGGATGTGGTTTTGGGGTCTCCCAGCGCCAGGAAGGTGCCCGGAGGCTGCGGCCTCCACCACAACCGCAGGGGTTGAACCCACGCAGCCTCCTCCCGGTGGCACCGTCCCTGCCATGGGGGCCAGCCAAGCTGCCGGCCCTTTTTTTTGTGGCTTTTTGGGCGTCTCCGGGCGATGGGGCGGCACTTTTTTGGGTGCCACGGGGAGACGTGGGGGCACTTTCCTTCTCTCGAGGCCAGGTTTCCGTTTGGCTCCGCCGAGCACCTCAGAGGGCAGCAGTCATCCTCGGAGGAGGTTTTGGGGGCCCTGAGAGGAGAAAGGAAGATTTTGGGCTCCCAACCCCTTTGATTTTTCAGCCGCCTCCTTGAGCCAGGACCCGGTGTGACCCGGAGCCGGGACAAAGCCGAGCAGCCTCCGATGGAGCCGCTCAACCTCGTGCGATTCCGGCCTCCGACTCGTGAGGGGAAACTCCTCGGGGGGGTCCCGGCCTCACCTCGTTGTTCCTCTCCCTCCGCAGGGCGTTTTTCTGGCTGGTGTCTCTGCTCCTGGCCTCCCTCATCTGGTTCGTTTCCGTCCATCCTCAGCGACCGGGAGGACGCCAAGCTCCAGTACGGCCTCCTCATTTTCGGGGCGGCCGTCTCCGTCCTGCTGCAGGAGGTTTTCCGATTCGCCTACTTCAAGCTGCTGAAGTAAGAGCCCGGCCGGGGGCAGCGCTCCTGTGGCCGCCTCCCCAAGCGTCCCTCACCCAGGGCTCTCTTGGGATCCGGTCGGTGCCAAACGCTGCTTTTTTTTACCCAGCCAAACCCCCCAAAACCTCTTCCTCCTTAGATCCTGCTCCGGAGCTGTTCTCCCTTGCTCCTGCCTCGTTTATAACCCCCCCCCCAACCCCTTCCCGGTTTGCACAAGCTCCCTCTGCAGCGCGGAGCCCCATGCAGGCCTGATTCCTGCCCCCCTGCTCACTTTTTCTCCCCTTCCCGAGCAGGAAAGCGGACGAAGGCTTGGCCACCATCAGCGAGGACGGCCGCTCGCCCATCTCCCTCAAGCAGATGGCTTACGGTGAGCACGGGGGCTCGGGGGCAGCAGGACCCTCGGCTATCGGAGAGCAGCGGCAGTGACCACGAGCCCACCGGGCTCACTCGCCCTTCCCAATTCCCTTTTCTGCCTTTCCCTGCGCAATTTGGGGAGCGGGGAGCGTGTGGGGGCACTGAGGGTGCTGGTCGGAGTCGGTGGGGACCTTAAAGATGATTCCGTCATGATTAATTTGCTCCTTGATTATTTTTTTTCCTGGCAATCTGTCTGCGCATCACTCAGCCTGGTTCTGCTCCTGCACCCCCAGGGGGGCTTCGAGCCCCCGGGGCGGGCAGGAGGGGGGGTGGGCTGTGCTCAATCCCCTTTTTCCTGATTTTCTTCTCCCTCCGCAGTGTCCGGCCTGTCCTTCGGCATCATCAGCGGCGTTTTCTCCGTCATCAACATCCTGGCTGACTCCATCGGGCCGGGCATCGTGGGGATCCACGGGGATTCGCCCTATTACTTCATCACCTCGGGTGAGGCTGGGGCCGGGGGGGGCAGAGCTCTCTTTTTTGCTCTTTTGGAGCATTCAGCCCCAAAAGCAGTCGCACGAGGCACAATTTTGCCCGAGGGAACCCCCCCGGGACTCCCAGCAGGTTGATGAAGGTGTAATTTTCTTTCCTTCCCCCCCCCCCAGCGTTCCTCACCATGGCCGTGGTTCTGCTCCACACCTTCTGGGGGGTGATTTTCTTCGACGCCTGCGAGCGCCGCCGCTACTGGTGCCTGGGGGTGGTGGTGGCCAGTCACCTCGCCACCTCGGGGCTGGTGAGTTGGGGGCACCCGGGGGGCTTCCCCCAAAATCAAGCAGGCGGCGGGAACCCCTCTAGGGACAGGGAGAGGACCACGGGAAGCACCCTGGAGGCGTTTCCATGCTCCCCAAATCTCCTCTGGGGATGTGTGGGGCTGCTCGGAGCACTTCTGGCACGAGGTGGGGGGGCAGCGGGATTTAAGCGGGGCTAAGGGGGCAGCGGGAGGATTAGCTGCTAATCCCAAATGGGAAACCTCGAGGCAGGAATTTGAGCTCCTGGCTCCGCTGTCGCCGTTTCCCGTTGCTCACCCCACTCTTTGTGTCCCCATTCCCTCACCCCACTAGACGTTCCTGAACCCCTGGTACGAGGCCAGCCTGGTCCCCATCTACATCATCACCGTCTGCACCGGCCTCTGGGCCTTCGTCACGGCCGGGGGCTCCTTCCACAACGTCCTCAAGTGCCTCTCCTGTAAGGGCCGGGCCGGGAAGGGCACTTTTGGGGGAATTTTGGGGGCTCTCTGCATGTCCCGTGGGGGTGTGGGGGGGCTGGGATGACCGCGGGTTTTGGGTACCCTCAGCACCTTCCCCCATGGGGCCGCGAGGAGGGGTCGCACCTGGACCCACCTCCCCGCTGCATCTCCTGGAAGATCGGGGTTCCTAAAAACCCCCAAAAAAGCCCCCCACCCCGCTCCGTTTCCACCCTCTCACCCTCTTCATCCTCGCCCTGCCTGGGTGTTTTTTTTTCTCCCCCCCCCCAGGTAAGCAGGAGGCCGACAGCCGCGTGATGATGTACTCGGCGCTGCGGGTGCCTTTTGAGGAGTGAGCCGCGACCGCCCCCGGACCCTAAATTTCCCCCCCCCCGGGGGAACTGGACGATGCTGGGCTGGGGGCAGCCTCCGTAGGGGGTTTTTGGGGGGGTTTGGGGAGTTTTGTCCCCCCGGAGCTCCCGGCTGGCTCCGCAGGGCAAGGCCGAGCCTCTCCGCCCGTCCTGCCCCGGGGCTGGGGCACAAACTCAGCTCCGAGCCCCAACCCTAAACCCCCCCGTTCCTTTTTGGGGGGGTTTTGGGGCCGTTTGTGTCCCCCCCCTGTGCCGTGGCGCCCCCGTTAGGTTCGGTAGTGACCCCCCCGTTGGCCTTTCCTTACTGGGATCTCCACAGGGTGGGAGAAGAGCCTGGGGACAGCCCCGGGGCTGCTGCGGTGCCACCAGGCTCGGGGCAGGGCCCCCCCTGTGACCCCCCCGCGTCCCCCCCCCCAGCACAAGGGGCTCAGGGCTGTGGGACCCCCCCCCCAGAGCATCCCATACAGCCCCTGGGAGTGGGGTGATCGCTGAGGGGGGTTTTTGCCCCCCCCCCACTCGCTGCTCCCCACTTTTGGGTCTTTTCTAAGCGCCCCCTGGCTGGGTGGGGGGGTGCGGGGGGGGTGTTAAATTATTTTTTTGATTCAGAGTAAAACCCTTTTAATAGTGACTACGTGGCCCCGAGCTTTGTGGGGTGGGGTTCGAGGGGGGGGAAAGGGGTCAGGCGCCCCTCATCCTGCACTGCTCCCAGCCCCTGGGTGCTGGGGGGGGCTTTTTTTTTGAGGGGGGGGGGCCTCAAGGCCGGTGGTGCTCAGGCGTGCGGCGCGAGGAGGCTTTGAAGACCACGTCCTGCTGCTGCCTGCTCCTCGCGCTGCCTCGGGGGGAGATAGAGACCCTCAGGAGGGTGGGGGGAGAAAATTGGGGGGGTCCTGGCCCCCCCCAAGTGGGATGCAGGGCTTGTTTTTTTGGGGGGGGGCTCTCACCGCAGCCTCTTGCTCACGAAATGGACAGGCGAGGAAGAGGCCGAGGCAGCCGAAGACGGTGCCGAAGACGATGGCGACGACTTCACCTGCGTGGAATCCCCCCCCAAAAAAAAAAAAAACACTCGGGGGCTGGGGGGGGGGCAAAAGGACGCCCCCAAAACCCCCCCCCCAGCCTCTCTGCCTGCGCCCTACCTGTCGAATATCCCTCGGGCCCTGCAAGGGAAGAGCCAGCGCTGCCCACCGCGGCCTCGTGCCCTTGCTGGGGGCTCTGGGGGGGCACCGTGTGTGTCCCCCCCCCTCGTCCCACCCCGTCCCCCTCACCGCTGCTGAAGGACGCCAGCACCAGCCTCTGGTTGAGGTCCTGGGGGGCCCGAAAATTCTCCTCCAACCGCTCGGGTTCGGGCTCATCGGGCGCCGTGGCGTAAAGGGAACCCCGCAGCTGCTCCAGCTGAAACGGGATCGGGTGGTTGGGGGGGGGGGCTTCAGGGGGCTGCTCCCCCCTCAGTCCTCAGCCCCTAAATTCCCCTCCAAACCCCCCCAAAAATCCTCACCTGAGCCCGGCTGAGGAGGACGGGCTGCTGGAAAACGCTCCAGAGGACGCTTTGGAAGCAGGGGGGGGTGGTGAGGGACCCGTTGTAGCGGTAGTAGCGATCCAAGCGCTGGGGCAGCAGACCCCGCAGGCTGAAGGAGGGGATGGAGGTCGCCTGCCCTACAAGAAATTGGGGCGGGGGGGAGCAAATTGGGACCCCCCCCGGGGAGGTGAAGCCCCCACTAGTCCCCCCTCACCCCTCACCGGCGTAGCGGATGCTGCCCAAGTGCCTCAGGATGTTGTCGTAGGCAGGGTTGGGTTCGTCGCCAGCCTGGATGGAGATGGGTTTTTTTTGGGGTGGGGGTCCCAAGGGGGTCAGGACTGGTGTTAATAGGGATTTGGGGGGGGGTCCCTGGCCCCCGTACCTCCAGCAGGACGCCCAGCACGGCCAGCCCGGCGGCGTGGTGCTGAGCCTGGCTGGCGTTGGCGAAGCGCTCGGCGTCGTAGTGCACCACGTGCAGCTGCGGGTTCAAGGGGGGGGCCCCTCGGTGTGCCCCCCACCCCACCCCACACACACCCCGGCCCCTTCCCGTGCCCGTTCCCGCAGCGGGATCCCTTCGCTCTGTGCCCGATTCCCACCCCCAGCCCCATTCCCAGCCCCGTTCCCATACCCGATTCCCACCCCAGGACCCGTCCCCGTTCCCATTTTCCATCCCATTCCCGTTCCCATACCCGTTCCCATGGGGATTCCCACCCCAGGCCCTGTTCCCGTGCCCATTTCCCACACCAGGACCCAATCCCACAACAATTCCCACCCCAGCCCCCTACCCTAACCCCAATCCCACACCAACTCCCATCCCGACCCCATTCCCACACCGATTCCCACACCAGATCCCACCTTGACCCCAATCCCACACCCATTCCTACATTGGGCCCCATTCCCACACCAGCCCCCCCGACCCCAATCCCACACCCATTCCCACACCAGCTCCCACCCTAACCCCAATCCCACCCCAGCCCCCCACCCCGACCCCAACCCCACACCCATTCCCACCCCCATTCCCACCCCAGCCCCTCACCCTACCCCCACTCCCACCCCCCTTCCCACCCCGACCCCATTCCCACCCCGTTCCCCTCCCACCCCATTCCCGGGGGGGGGCCACCCCCGTACCTCAGCGGGTGCCCGGTACCCATCCAGGAGGTGCTCGGCCCCCCCATTCCGCCCCCAATGGAAATGGAGCTGAGCGGCCGCGAAGCTGTGGGGCAGCCCCCCCAGGCGCAGCGAGGGGGGCAACGCCAGCACCGCTATAGGGTCGGGGGGGTCCTCGCTGAGCGGGGACCCCAATAAACACCCCCCCACCTCCATCCTCATCGTCACCCCCCCCCCGGTAGCCGCTCACCGGTGTGGCCGTTGTTGGCGAGGCCGAAGGGGGCGGCGGGGGGGCGGTTGTAGCCTATGGGGCGCAGGGGGGGCAGCGAGGGGTCCGGCAGCGCCCGCCCCGTCCCGATGTCGATGGGGGATTGGGAACGGCCCCCGCACGCCGGGTGCCCCTCGGGCCAGTGCTGCTGCCCATGGGGACCTACGGGCACCAAGCCCCATGGGTGTGTCCCCCCCCCCATTTCAAACAGCCCTAAAAATACCCTAAATACCCTCATTTCCCCCTAATTTCTCCCCAATTTCCCCCCACCCTATAAAAAAACCCAAAACCCAACCCAATGGGGACGCTGCCACCGCTCCGGAATCTTTTTTTTGGGGATTTTTTTTTGGGGGGGAACTGCCCCGGGCTGATCCCACAACGGAGGCACCTGGGGGGGGTCCCAGTCCCTATGGGGGGGGGCACTGGAAAGGGGGGGGGCTTAACGGGGATTTGGCCGGGGCCGGACCCTAATTGGATTTGGCAGCCGGAGCGGGGCCCCACGCCTCATGTAAAGGAGCACAATGGGGCCATTGGAGCGCACGGGTGGGATTTTTTTTGGGGGGGGGACACAAGGATATGGGGGGGGGCTCTGCCCATCCCGCAGCGCCCCAATTTGGGGGAAAACGGGGCTTTTTGGGGGGTTTTCGGGGGGTTGTCGCCCAGCTGGTGGCATCCCAAATTATGGGAATGCTGGGGGGGGGGGGTTGGGCACCTGCTTTTGGGGGGGGGTCCTGGATGGGGAAATGGGGGATTTGGGGGATTTGGGGTGGGGGGGGCAGGGGGGGGCCCCCAGGGGTGCTGTCACCCCCCCCCCCAACCCCACTCACCCTCGTACGTCCAGTGGGGACCTGCGGAGGAAGGAGAGGGGTTGGGGGGGGGGGGCAAGGTTTTAGGGTCGGGGGGCCCCCTCCCCATGGCCCCCCCCCAGAACAGAGCGGGGCGAGCTGGATGGGAGCAGCTGAGCCAGGATTTGGGGTGAAATCCTGAGGGAATGGGAAAAGGGGGGAATGGGGTGCTATGGGGGGGGGGGGAATTGGGGTTCTGGGGGGGGGGGCACTCACCGGCAGGGAGCGCGGGGGCCGGGCCCCCCAGGAGCAGCAGTAGGGTGAGCAGCATGGTGGGGGGGGGCAGTGGGGCCGGGTGCTGCCGGCCCCCGCTTTAATACCCCCGGGGGGACCCGAGTAGGGGGGGGGGGATGAGGGGGGGGGGAGAGGGCGGGGCTGGGGGGCTCGGAGGGGGCTGGGGGGCGGGGGGGGGCCTGGGGGGGTTTGGAGGGCATTGGGGGGGGATAGGGGGTCTGGGGGGGGATGTTGGGGGGGCCGGGGGGGGCTTAGGGGGGTGGTGGGGGTCCTGCGGGGGGGGTGGCTTGGGGATGTTGAGTTTCTGGGGGGTGTTGGGGGGGGCATTGGGGGGGCGTTGTTGGGGGTCGTGGGGGGGGGTTGGAGGATGGGGAGGTCTTGGGGGGGCGCTGGGGGGCCTGGAAGGTGTTGGGGGGCCGGGGGGGGCTGGGGGGGGGGCGATGTTGGGGGTCCTTGGGGGGGTTGGGGGTGTTGAGGTCCTGGGGGGGGGGTTGTTGGGGGGCCGGGGGGGGCGTTGGGGGGCCTGGAGGGTGTTGGGGGGCCGGGAGGGCTGGGGGGGGGGCGATGTTGGGGGTCTTGGGGGGGTTTGGGGGATGGGGAGGTCCTGGGGGGGGCTTGGGGGGGAGTTGGGGGGTCCGGGGGGGGCGTTTGGGGGGGTGTGGGGGGGGTGCTCAGGGGGTGTTGGGGGTCCTGGGGGGGCTCTTGGGGGGGGCTTTGGGGGTCCTGGGGGGGGGGGCCACTGGGGATCATTGGGGGTCCGGGGGGGCTGCAGGTGCCGGGGGGGGCATTGGAGGGGGGGCGGCTGCCCCCGCCTGCCCCCTCCCCTCCCCGCCTGCCCCCTCCCCTCCCCGCCTGCCCTCGCGCGCGCTCCCGCCGCCCCCGCGCGCTCCCGTTCCCGCGCCCGCCCCCGCGCTCCTCCCGCCCCGCCCCTCCCCGCCCCCACGTGGGCGCACACGCGCCTGCCCCCCCCTTCCCCCTCCCCCGCCCATTATGTAACGGGCGCCGAGGCGAGGCCGCGCCCTCCCATTGGCTGAGCCCGCCGCCACGCAATCCGGAGCCGCCTCCCATTGGCTCTCCGCGGGGGTGGGCGGTACCCAACGGCCGCGCGGCCACATGGAGGGGCGTGGCCGCGGCCCTCCCCCTCGCAACCAATGGGCGCGCGGCGGCCACCGCATTGGGCACGGCGGGCGGGCGCTCCAGCCAATGGGAGGCGAGGGGGCGGGGCGAGGAGCCGAGGCTCCTCCCACCGGCGGGGGCGAGGCAGCCAATGGGAGCGCGGGGTGGGCGGGGCGTCGCGGGAGGCACGTGCGGCCGTGCACGTGTCCGCGTGGGGCCGGGGCGGAACCGGCGCCGGGACCGGGCCCGAGACGGGGACGGCGGGGACGGGACCGGGACAGCGGGGACGGGACGGGGGGAACCGGGACGGGGACAGCGGGACAGGGACACCGGGATCGGGACGGGGGGAACTGGGGAAGTGGCACCGGTACCGGGACACCGGCACCGAACCGGGACCGGGACATTGGGAGCGGCACCGAGCAACCGGCACCGGGTGCGGGCATCGGGACATCGGGACATCGGCACCGGGACACCGAGACCGGGACACTGATACCGGGACCGGGACATTGGCACCGGAACCGGGACACCGGGATACCGGGAGACTGATACCGGGATCGTAACCGGGACACCGGCACCAGGACCCGGACCCGGCCACCGATACCGGGACACCAGGACACCGAGACCGGCACCGGCACCGGGACATCGGCACCAGGACCCGGCCACCGGCACCGGGACACCGGGACCGGCACCGGGACCGGCATCGAACCGGGACACCGGCACCGGGACACCGATACCGGGATCCCGGGACCGGCCCCGGGCCAGGGCCGTTGGCACCGGGACCCCAACCCCGGGAGCGTCCACACCGGGACCGAGCCACCGGCAGCAGGTGGGGGGGGCGCGGAGCCGCCGGTACCGGGAGGAGGGGGGGGGGGGGGCGGCACCGGGAGGGGACCCCCCCACCCTTCAAACCGCGCCGATCTCCGGTTCGCTTTTTTTTTTTATTTTTTTCCCCAAATTTTCCCGTTTTCCCCCTTTTTTTTCCCTCCAGGTGATTCCGCCCCGCTTCGGGGGCGCCCCCCCCCCCCCCGGATCCCCGCCACCATGGAGCCCTCGGGGACCCCCCCCCGCGGGACCGAGGCGGGGACCCCCCCCCGGACCCCCCCTCGGAGCCCCCCCCGGGGTCACCCCCCCCCGGGATCCCCCCGGGACCCCCCCCCCGGGACCCCCCCGGGGACCGGAGCGGGGTCGGAAGCGACCACCGGGGGGGCACCGGGAGCCCCCCCCCGGGGGGAAGAGGCACAAAACCGGGGAGCCCGGGGCCGCCCCCCCCGCCCCCAGCGACGGCGACCGCCTTTTTGCCCAAAAAGTGAGGGTTTGGAAGGAAAAAGGGGGAGGGGATAAGAAGGGGGGGGGGCGGGTTTTGGGGGAAGGCTGCGGGTTTTTTTGGGGGGGCTGTGGGTTTTGGGGTGGGTTTGGGGGGTTTTGGGGTGATTTGAGGGGTTTTGGGGTGGTTTGGGGGTTTTGGGGGGGGTTTGGGGGCGGTTTGGGGGTTTTGGGGGTGGCTGTGGGTTTTGGGGTGGGTTTGGGGTTTTGGGGTGATTTGGGGGATTTGGGGGTGGTTTGGGGGGTTTTGGGGTGGATTGGGGGTTTTGGGAGGGGGCTATCGGTTTTGGGGTGGGTTTGGGTTTTTTTTTTTGGGGGGCTGTGGGTTTTGGGGTGGGTTTGGGGGGTTTTGGGGTGGTGTGGGGGTATTGGGGGGCTATGGGTTTTGGGGTGCTTTGGGGGAGATCATGGGTTTTTAGGGGGGGCTGTGGGTTTTGGGGTGGGTTTGGGGGCTTTTGGGGGGGCTGCGGGATTTTTGGGGGGGGCTATGCATTTTGGGTTGGATTGGGGGTTTTGGGGGGCTATGGGTTTTGGGGTGCTTTGGGGGGATCAAGTTTTTTTGGGGGGGCTCCATGGGTTTTGGGGTGCCTGTGGGTTCTTGGGGTGTTTTGGGGGGGCCCTACGCTGACACCTCCCCCCCCGCAGTGCCGGGAGCTTCGGGGCTTCATCCGCCCACTGACCGAGCTGCTCAACGGGCTGAAGATGGGGCGCTACGACAAAGGTGGGCACCCCCCCAAAAACCCCCAAAACCCCCCCAAAATCCCCCAAAACCCCCCCCAAACCCCCCCCCCGGGGGGCACATTCCCAGCTGCGGCTCCCCGCAGGGCTCAGCAGCTTCCAGCAGAGCGTGGCCATGGACCGGATCCAGCGGATCATCGGCGTCCTGCAGAAACCCGAAATGGGGTGAGCCCCCCCCAAAAAAAAAAAAAAAAAATTGGGGGTCCCCACAGCTCCCCCCCACCCTTTTTAGGGCCGGGGGGGGGGGTTTATGGGGTCACCCTTCTCTCTTATAGGGCCCGGTACCTGGGGACGCTGCTGCAGGTGGAGGTGATGCTCCGGGGCTGGTTCCCCCACGTCGCCCCCAAACCCGGGGCCCCCCCCGGTTCTCAGGACCCCCCCCCCCCAAAAAAAAATCCTGCTGACCCCCCCCAGGAGGGGGGGGCCTGGGGAACCCCCCCCAGCCCCGTGGGCGTCCTCCTGCTCCTCCACGACCGCCTCCGCCCCCGTCGGGCCCCCCTCCCCGGGGGGGTCACCACCGACACCTCGGGGACGCCGCCGCCGCACCACGGGGGGGGGCAGCACCCCAAATGCCCCCCCCCCCACCCGGACTGGACCCCCTGCCCCCCCCCAACACCCCACGGCGCCGGACGCGTGACGAGCGCCTGGATTTTGGTTTTTCTTCAATTTTATTATTATTATTATTTTTTGGGGGGGGGGCTTATGGGGTGCCCCCCCCCCCTCCAGGAGTGCTGTGCCTTGCCCCCCCTCCCTCCCCACATTTTGGGGTCCACGGGGGGGTGAGGGGGGGACACACAACGGGGGGCGGGCCCCCCCACAGCGCGGCCTCACCCCGGCTTTGTGCCTTCCCCGTGGGATTTTTTTTTTTTTGGGGGGGGGGGGGTCCCGTGCCCCCCACCCCACCCCCCCCGGCTTGATCCCAGCCCCCCCCCGGGAGCAATAAACGGGAGCGGCCGGGGCCATTTGGTGCCGGTGTCCTTGTCCCATTTTGGGGGGGGGGATTTGGGGAGGGGAGGTTTATGGGGTCCGGGGGGGGGGTCTCACAGCCCCCCCCCCACGGGTATGGTGCCCCCCCGGGGGTCTTACACCCCCCCCCAGCCCCAGTGTCCCCCTGGGGGCGTCTCATGGGGACCCCCTGGGTGTGGTGTCCCCCTGGGGGGGGTCTCACAGCCCCCCCCCGGGTCTAGTGTCCCCCTGGGGGGGTCTCATGGGGGCCCCCCCCGGTTGTGCTGCCCCCCTGGGGGGTCTCACAGCCCCCCCCCACGGTTACGGTGCCCCCCCAGGGGTCTTAAACCCCCCCTCAGCCCCAGTGTCCCCCTGGGGGGGGGTCTCACGGGGCCCCCCCGGGTGTTTTACGCCCCCCCCCCCCATCCCCAGTGTCTCCCTGGGGCTCTCCCAGCCCCCCCCGTGTCCGCTGCCCCCCCCAGGGGGTCTCGGGGCACCCCCCCCAGTTTTGGCGCGCTGGGGGGCGTGGCTCCATCAGGCCCCGCCCACCTCCCTCAAGCCGCGCTGTGATTGGCTACGCCCCTTCCCATAAGCCACGCCCCCTCCCCGCTCAACCCAGACCTGTTTGCTCTGGCCACGCCCCCTCCCGTTAGGCCACGCCCCCTTCTTTAGGCCACGCCCCTAAATAGAGCCCGCGGCGACTTCCGCTTCCGGGGCGCGCGGCCTGGGCGTGGAGTCGGGGGGCGGAGGAGGCCGCGGGGAGGCCCGGAGGGGGCCGGGAGCGTCCGGGGGCGGCCGGAGCTTCCCGGGGGGGCCCGGCCCGGTACCAGCGCCTCTCAGCGGAGCCGCCGGGCCATGGCGAACCACCTGCGCTTCGTGGGCCGCACCGTCATGGTGCGCAACGGCAACGTGGACGCGGCCTACGGGGCCCTGAGCAGGTGGGGGGGAAGCGAATGAACCCCCGGGGGACGGGGCCCCCCCCGGAGCCTCGTTTCCGGCCCTCGGAGGCCGCTTTTTAACCCTTCCGCCGCCGCTCTCGGCCCGCCCGCAGGATCCTGGCTCACGACGGTGTCCTGGAGACGGTGAAGCAGCGGCGCTACTACGAGAAGCCGTGCCGCAAGAGGCAGCGGTTGGCCTACGAGGCGTGCCGGCGCGTCTACAACGCCGAGATGGCCCGCAAGATCGCCTTCGTCTCCCGCAAGAACCGGCCGGACCCCTGGCAGGGCTGCTAGCCGGGGGCGACGGCTGGCCGGCCGCCTGTCCTGCTGGCCGGCTGTCCGCCCAGGTGCCAAGAAACCCCCGCGCTCTCTAATAAATCGGTCATTTTTCCAGCTCGGCTGCACGCCTGTGAGGGCTGCGGATGAGGGTTTCTTTTTTTTGGAGGGGGGTTGCGGTCGCTGTGCCCCCTCTGGGATTGAGGGCAGGCCCCTGGGGATTTGGGGGAGCCCCCAGGGGGGCGGGAGCAACTGATGGTGTGGGGGGAGGGCGTTTTTCTGCCTCTTCACCCCTCCACGGGCAAGGGGGAGGCACCCAGGGGATCCGGGGAGCTCCCTGGGGTCCGGGACAGCCCCTTGGGGTTTTGGGGGGAGCTGTCGGGGGTCGGGGCAGCCCTCGGAGGGGCGGGGAGAGCCCCCCAGGTTGAGGGCGGCTACCGGGAGGGTTTGAGGGAGCTGTCGGGGGGGTTGGGGAGCGGCCTTGGGGGTGGGCTGAGCCCACCGGGGCTTTGGGGCAGCCCCCCAGGGAATTTGGGGGAGCCCCCAGAGGGGCTTGGGGGATCCGCCAGGGGCTCGGGAGGAGCCCCCAGGGCTTTGGGACAGCCCCCAGGGGGCGGGGGGAGCTCCCCGAGGTCATGGCGGGGAGACCCGCGTCACGTGAGAAGTGCCTCGAGTCACGTGGGAGGGGCCCTGCGCCGCGCCCGGCCTTCACCCCCTCCACGTGATCCCGGCGGCGTTTGGCCACGCCCCCTTCCCCCCCCCCCCTTCCCCCTCCACCTTCTCGGCACCCTTCGCGCGGGCGGCTGCGCATGCGCCCGGCGGCCTCCGCGGCCGTTTCCGCTTCCGGCCCCGCCGTGCAGCCGCCGTCAGGGCCGCCCGCCGCCGCTCGGGGCCTACCGGGGCCTTACCGGGGCCGAGCCCCGCCGCGGTGAGGGGGCCGGGAGGAGCCGGGGGGGCGCCGGGGAGCTCCGGGAAGCTGGGGAGGGGGGGGAGGGAGGGAGCGGGCCCGTTAGGCCCTGAGGGGCGGGAGGTGCTTGGGGAGGGGGGGGCGGCGGCGGCCTGAGGCGAAACGGCCTCGGGTGGGGGCGGGGAGGGGGCAGCCGTAGGGAAAAACCCGCGGGTGTGGGAGGTGAGGGGGGAGCCGCGTGTAAATACCCACGGGTATGGGTGTTTGGGGGGCACCCGGGTGGAAATAGGCGCCAATGGCTGCGTTTGGGGGGCACCCGTAGGAAAATAAAGGGGGGTGTGTGGATTTAGAGGGCGCCCCTATGTGAATAACCGTGTATATGGGCGTTTAGGGGACACCCATACGTAAATACACGTGTATTTATACGTTTTGGGGGCACCCCTGCATAAATACCCGTATATGTGGGTGTTTAGGGGGCACCCATGTGTAAATAACCACTTATGAGGACGTTTAGGGGGCACCCTTATGTAAAATGTGTCTTTATATATACATTTAGAGGGTGCCTGGCTATAACTACCCGCATAGATGGGTGTTTAAGGGGCACCTGTGTGTAAATACCTGCTTATATGGCCGTTTAGGTGGCACCTATACATAAATATATGTGTTTATTTGCATTTAGAGGGGATCCCTGTGTAAATACCCATGTATATGGGCATTTAGGGGGCACCCACGTGTAAATTTGTGTTTATATATGCATATTTAGGGGACATCCATGTGTAAATACGCACCTATATATACATTTAGGGGGCACCCATCCATAAATACATCTATATGTGTGTGTTTAGGGGGCACCCACGTGTAAATACCCACACACCTGAAGCTCTCCCTACTTTTAAGGCTGGATTTGGAGCCAAAACGCTGCAGCAGAGTTCTCTGGGGCTGCGTTTGGTGCTGTTTCAAATCCATCTCCATGAAACTGCTGCGGGAAGTGCGCAGCTGTGAAGGTTTTCCCCTCTTCTCAGGGAGTTCCGAGCTCCCCAGGGAAAACCTGCCCCCCTTGATGCTGTCTCAGACCTGTGGGTTTACTTTTTCTGCCTGTTTTTTCCCAGCCTCTCTGATGAGAAGCGCTTTGGTAGGGCTAAAACCCAGGATTTTAATTAATTCTCCCTTGAAACGACGGCCGCGTTTCGAGCTTTGTCTGCTTTCTGCTCAGAGCCACAGCAGCATCGAGGCTCGGCGAGCCCGTTCTTTTGGGCGAGGAATGCCGAGGTCAAACACATTCCCTTAAGAAGATTTTCTCTCGTTTCCAGATAAAGGAGACTTGGGTTCCAAATCAGATTAGTGCCCGGCCGCGTAATTAAACATTATTGCTTCGGCATAGCTCACGTTAACGAGGCGAGAGCGGTTAATTGAGATTGCGGGACTGGCATCCATAGAACTTCTGCACAAGGCATGAGTGACAGAAATGAAGGGCTTGTGGAATTTTAGCTTGTGGCTTAAAAATAAGGGAGCAAAAGCGATCTCCAGGAGCTTTCACCCGCCCTCAGCTTTCTCTCTCATGAGAAAAGGCACCAAACTGAGGGTGAAATGATCCTTTTTTTTAGTATTAACCTGTGGTTTTCTTGCCTGATTTCTCTGCAGGTGCGAGCGGAGTGATTTGGGCCGCCAGCCGCGATGGCGCTGTCCAAAAGGGAGCTGGACGAGCTGAAGCCATGGATCGAGAAGACGGTGAAGCGAGTGCTGGGCTTCTCCGAGCCCACCGTGGTTACCGCGGCGCTCAACTGTGTGGGGAAGGGCATGGACAAAAAGAAAGCGGCCGGTACGTCCCCCACACTCCCAACCCCACCCCACAGCTGCCTGTAGGAGTGCTCGGGCCCCCTGGAAGACCGAGAACAGATCAGAAACCTGCATCTGCACGTCCCTGAGGCCTCCAGAGCCTGGGATGCTGCATTAATTGGCTCGAAGCCCCCTTTTAACTCGGAGTTTTATGGCTTTGCAGAAATCTCTGTGAGTTCTCAGCTCTCCCGCTCGTGCCGATCAGGGAATTGTGCCGTTCATGCAGCTCCTCTTCTTTTCCAGACCACCTCAAGCCTTTTCTCGACGACTCCACCCTGAGGTTTGTGGACAAGCTCTTCGAAGCAGTGGAAGAAGGCCGAAGCTCCAGGCACTCCAAATCCAACAGCGACCGGAATCGGAAGCGAGAGCTGAAGGTGAGCCGAGGCCTGGTTATCGATTGTTTTTTGTTGTTTGGCGGCCGTGGAGGCAGCACTGGTACCCTGCCACACTTTCCTCTTCCAGAGAGGTACATCCTAAAGTAAATCATAAAGTTCAAGAGAAAAGCCCCTCCTCCGTGACGAAGTGTGTGAGCCTTTACCTTTCAGTTCTCTTGACCTCCTGGCGAGGGAGTGCAGCGCTCTCCGAGGTGGTGTCCGAGGTGGAAGCCTCAGCTTTTGGTTTCTTTAACAACCTCCACTAGGCTCGTGCAGCGCAGGGACTTAAATAACCGGGCTCCATCTCCCCGTTTCCTTTCCTGCTCGATACCGGCGCACGTGGCAGCGCTGAGGCTTGGCTGCCCTGCAAGCTGGCAGCCCGGGGCAGGGCATCAAACCTCCGAATAACTTCCTCTTGCTCTTCCTCTCTCAGCCGTGCTGTATTTTGTTCTGTCAGCTCATGCTGCCCAGCCCTGAGTGAGCGGCTCTTCCTCTGGTGGCTTTTCCTTCTCTTTTTTTTCCACCTGGAATCCACGCAGGGTGATTTTTGGCAACCTTTCCCCCGCCGCAGCACGAGGTGGGTTACAGCAGGGATTTCCAGCCCTGAGGTGTTTCTCCCACCTAACACCTGCCTGGGACGGTGGAAGTCTCGTGCGTCCAAACCTCTTTTCACCTCCTGTGTTCTCTTGAAGACTTCACTCGCCACCTTCTGGAAATGCATTTGTTTCACCCCTCACACACTGGGTTTAAAAGTTTCCTCCCAAAGTTTCCTTTAGCTTTTTCTGAGGTCCCTATTTTCTGGCAAACTTGCGTTTCTCTGTAACCGTTTAGTCAGCACCTAACCTCAGTTATCCAGAACAATCCTTCCCAGCTGCCCTCATTCCCTATTTTCTTGGAGGAACTTGCTTCTTCTCCCACCCTCTGGCAGAGGTTTTAACACCAGCCAGGGAAGGGCCTCCTCTGGGCTCCAGATGCCTTCACGAGTTGAGGAGGAGTATTTAAACAGGTTCCATCCTGCCCATTTCAGTGCAGCCCGAGGAGCAGCAGGGTTTTAAAACCCAGCCTAATTTACTGCTCTGCGTTTGGGTGTCCCAGTGAACGATGGAGCTTGAAGGACTTGAGGCTTTTGCCACGGTCTCGGTCGGAACAAGGGTGCCAGCGAGCATCTTTTGAGCGCTTCCGTGCTGTGGTTCTGCTTGAATTCGGGTGTTAGCCTGGCACACGTGCACGTTAGCTGCCACGGGGTTATTAGAAAGCGAGATTTGGGCCATGAGGCCCTTCAACACTTTTCCTTTTTGCCCTCTTGGGGAGATGACGGAGAGACGGGAACATCGTGAGTTGCGTCGCTGCTCAGCAGTTCGTGGCCCCAGGCCGCAGCTTTTTGGGGAGATTTTTACAGTCCTGTGGCACTGCTGGCTTGCGTGGATCCCCCGTTTCTTCAGAACCTGAATTCAGCCTCAGCTGGCTTCCAGCTGTCCTCAAGTCTCTCATCTTCCTCGTGGCACCTCGCTGCGAAGCGAGGTGGTGTAGTGAGGGGGTCGGATCGTGGCCGTGTGTGTCGAGTGACTGCCCCCCAGCAGCGCTGCAGGTTTTAGGGTTGAATTTGTACTCGTGTGCTCAGGTCTGCGGCATCGAGCAGCGGATTAATTCGGAGTGCTGCTCGTCGTGTTAGCCGGCTCCAGCCTTCTGTCTGCTCTTCCTCCTCTCTCCTTGGTTAATTCTTGTGGGGTAGGTCATTGCTCGGGAAGTTTCAGGAACTAAAACGTAACGGTTTACACACTTTATACTATGGGCAAGTCCTTTCTCTTGAACTTGTAGGTTTTCCAAGAAGTACCTGTGTCTGGATGAGGATGTGTCCCTGTAGAATATGAGCCATTGTAGTGAAGAAGGGATTCCAACTAACGCTTACAACCGGTGTGTATATTTTCATTTCAAATAACACCCTCACACACTACAGTTACACGGTTGCATGGACAAATCCAGCTTCCTGTATGCAAAACCGGC